CGGTTTTAACATTCAGTTTTAATATTTCTTTGTAAATTTTAACGATTCTTTTTACAGCTTATTCGTATCAATTTTTCATAATAGGAATTTATAAATACCAAGTTTAATAAGATATTTGGGAAAATTGCCAAATAAATGTTTAAAATGTTATTATGGTCATAATACTATAAATTATCTATTATGATTAGTAAAAAATTATTAACTACGTTGAAATTTTGGAAACGATGTTTGTTGCTTTCCGTAATGAAGTTATTACGGAAAGCAATAAACATCGTTTACCAAAATTATACAAAATGTAGTACATCATAAATTTATTACAAAAAACTAGAATAATCGTCCAAATGCGGTCATTTCACAGTCAAAGTACTCCAATGAATTATGTTAAAGATTATTATGTAAAATTGCTATAATAAATGCTTGCATCAGCGGAGTAGATGCGATATTTTGTTTTTCTATTACATGTAGGTATTTGTCTTTGCTATTAACAATAGGCATATATTAAGCATATACAATATTACGTATAAAATAATTATGTAACTTGCGATAAGCAAGCAAATATAAATTTCGCAATGAAATTATAAATTGTTCAATGATACAATTGAAGTGCGTGCATATATCAAAACATTAGTATTAAGAGGTGTAATCATTGCGTGGTCTACTTATTCTGGCATAAAATATAAAATGCTGACTTTTTGTTTCTTATTTACCGATTATTTTATGCAGCAGAACAAAAACATTTAATTTTACAAAAAATTTATAATAATGCATCATATATTTTCAATTTTTAATGAGTTAGCGGTTACTATAATTAAACTTTAGCAATTAGTGAAAACCGTCGCATTATCTAATTAATTTTTTACGTCACAGTAAATTTATAATAATATTTCCTGGAATATGATACATGAAGCGTTTTGCGTTCATTTTGTTACATAATTATATGCTATTTATATGAAGATTAATAATAAATGACTTTAATAAAACGATTTCTAAATCGATTTTAAACGTAATACAATATTATAAGGAAATATTAATATTGTATAATATTTTGTGTCTTGTTGAAAAATATTTTTACGCGGTATACAGCGGGATAACCTTTGCACGAGCATATGCGTGCACTTATGCATACCAGTCGCGTACGCAGCTGCAATTTAATAATAATAACCTCCTGAAAAAGCACATAATTTTTTAGTTTCGCGAAGCAGTGCCATTAGCAAAAACGTTTTGCCACATGCCAAAGTATGTATTCTCTCTAACATTATTCTGTCCTTTCCGGAGAATTCCATTTTACTTCTTCTTCTCTCAATTCCTCATTGTTCTTTTTTCTTTCTCATTCCCTCTTTTTTTGTCTTTACTTTATTTTAAACGTGAACTTTTATTCTAGCGTGTGCTTTTTCAAGTGCACAGAGACAAAGCTCGGACTAAGAACAAAAATCGTGTGCTAGAATTTAAAATCTCATTTGCAATGGAATAATGTCAAAAAATAATTACATGACTGACATTTCGGTTTACATAATCATAAATGAGAGAGGATAGCATGCATATATTTTCGTTCTGTTAATTTCCACCGACCTATTCCTGACTATAATTCGCAAGGTTATAGTCCTTCCAAGGGAACAGCTCCTTTCGCATTTGTCGGATGGATACGAAATAATCGCGTAGCGCACATAATACTCGGTACACACACGCGCAATGTTATCGATTGGCGAAGATCGCCACGCGCGACGGCCAAAGCGGTCGCCATTACTGGGATTGCGGGCGTCGCATTAGGTAAGGTAAGATCCAGCCTGTACACATTCTCATTCGGATAATGCACCGCTAAGTGGATGCCCCGTATGTGTTGCGACTCGTAGCCTATCAATCTTGATCTCAGCTTATACGAGGGCTCGTACTCACGATACAACGCATACTATCGAAGGATCTCTCTCTGCGCTTTCTCTCTCTCTCTCTCTCTCTCTCTCTCTCTCTCTCTCTCTCTATATATATATAAATATATATATATATATATATACCTGCCAGGTATATATGTATATGTGGAACGGAGCACTGATACACACGTGTACTATTAATGCACACACTTGGAATGGACGTACATCCTAACAGATACTAGATATGTATGGATTTATATCAGTAGATATGTACGTAGAGCAGCCCAACAGGGTCAAGTCATACTGATGGCTCATAAGATCATGGTATGTGAAATGTACGAGGTCAATGGACATTTGCACTCACAGCCTTGCTCAATCTCTTGGTACTCACCCATTATGTTTATTACTATCGCTAGCCAATTCGCAATCATACAATACACAAAATCAAAGTATACATCTCATTTTTTGTTCTTCGAGCATCCTGCAATTCTTCTATATTTTTTTTATATTATAGATATTATTTTATAGAT